TTCGGACACTTTTTAACGCGGACCCGACGTCCATATAATTGTAAGTCAATGGATAAATGCAATAATTTTAGACAGATTTGTAGTATTAGTAAGTCAAACCATTAGACTATCATAGCTGATGCTGCTCAGTCAAACATTTTTCGTTAAATACTTTCTACAATGTCAGGCAAGCCGTTACGGATCGTATCATAATCACCCACAGATCCGTACGTTCTAATAGACGAACATTTTCGGAAAAGGAATATTATTTACATCACAATACGTCGTCCTGTTCCTGACTAGCTGTTGTAACTGAATTCGGGAAATATATTTTCGATTTATTACAAAACATCTTGTGCTTTTGCTCGTGCCAAACTCGTTCAATGCTTTATTAACCACCGATGCGAAAAAACGAGTATCGGATTTATCATGTGGTAATTAAAACCACAAAGTACTACCACATCCTAGCTCTGTAATTCGAAGGCAATTGCTGGCCAATTAGCAGTAGCAGTGCCACTCAGAGCTTTAAATTGAAATGATCTGAGGAACAGTGAGACATAAGTAGATAAGAAATAAGCAGTATTGCAAGCATTACTGAGTTCTAGTTTTTGAAGGGTAAGGGTGCTAATGAAATTACAGGCTTATTAGACCTTATGTCTCAGGGTGACTGCCCCTCAAATCTTTGCGATTTAAAGCTCTGAGTGGCACTGCAACTGTTATGGACAGGCGTGACGAGGTGCACGACTTATTCACCTCACTTGGTATTGTATACCGTTGTGGACGCAGTGGCAAAAGCTGCCCACGGAACTCTAAAAAAGATAAAGTAAGTAGTACTATAAAGCTCGCTCATTGGCAGTAAAAAGTTTTCGTTTTGTGACTGCAAAGCTCCGGATGATTTAACCACCCGGGATGAATGGAAACTTTGTCGGTAACTTGTTTTAAAAGTTTACAAACATTTTTTTTTAGGCGATTTTATTTAAATCCACTACTTCTCGTCGTACCGTTTGACGTTACATTTCTGCTACGGGAGATTATTAGTCTCTACGTTTAAAGCATTTATGTAGTAGATTGTTTAAGAAATATTTATAGATATAGTTTAAGCAATGAGTAGAATTTATAAAATATTAATATGGCAAGGTTTTTTTTGTTTTGGGCAGGTAACACTGCTTTTCTTCTCTTTAGAAGAAACCGTTGCAACGGCAGCTTTAATTGTATGTCATTTTTGGAAATACTGGCCATTGATTTAAAATTAACATGCCTTTTATTTATAATGCAAGTTTCGACCCCTCCCACGTAAAGTATCGTATGTCAAAATTGCCAAGTTTACAGGGGAGCCTTTTAAAGTTCTGAATTCTCTGAAATAGCATAACACGTGACTTTAGATTTCTCACTTTTATTCGGCAAATCTCGTTACACGCGTTGAGTATCATAAAATCCTAGATATCGGTTAGATGATCTATTAGGTGATCACTCTATGTGAGTGACAAGCATCGCCGAATGAAACGGAGAACTTTAAAACACTCTCCCGTAAACTTGGCAATTTCGACATACGATACTTTACGTAGGAGGCGTCGGTTTATGGTCCTCCGAGCCGGATATGAACCAGGCAGCACAGGTTTTATTTATATATTATTTTGCCTAAGAACCCACAGGTAAAATAAAACCTTGCCATATTCTTAATTTATAAGCTATTATATCTACTGTTATATAATATTTGTTTAAACTATTTGTTTTACTTTATTTATTCGATACGTATGTGATTAAGCGACTTCAAAAGAAGGAGGAGGTTATACTTTCGGCTTTTGTGTATCGATTTTGAAAATTCTTTTTTGTTTGAAAGGGTGCACTCTCGTAGTGGTCCCATTATCACCAAGTCAGACTCTGATGAGGGAATCCATTGACTTACAATTATATGGACGTCGGGTGCGCGCTACAAAGTGTCCGAACTTATAGGGCGTTAAAATCGTATACAGAGCGTCATTCACGCTTTAGTCTTCGTTTATTCGACTGACAGCGAAGCAAGCAAAATTAGACAGTACTGCGATGACATTACAATTTAAATCTAACGTTTTAGCTTTTTCATACTCCTTTACATGTCACTACGTTTAAATAGGTTGACTTGGGACATTTTTTTCGTGGTTTTCGTATTAGACCCGTCGTCCATTTATTTGTCAGTCAATGATCGAAGGACATCCTCTAATTTTATAGGCATGTCCATGTATTCACCAATTTCTCCATCAACTGTGCACCGATTTTGAAAATTCTTCTATTGTTTGAAAGGGTGTACTCTCGAGGTGGTTCCTGATGCTGTTCCGGGTTCATAGCGGCTATCACAAATTACTAATTATTTTCCCCAAATAAAAGCCGATTTTTCAATTGACACAACTTAGAATAATAACGCATAGAAACCTAGTCTTAATTGAAGTGCGCCCAAAGGGCCTACACGAGCGGGCGTGCCGTCAGTGCTCAAGGTCAACTTGCACCGCGAACAGATCAATAATTTTAGCTAAAAATGACGAAATGTGCGGTAAATGAGTGTAAAAATTCATCAGACAAACATAAAATAGATACTAACATCACATTCCACAAGGAAGTAACGCGTTTCAACTTGTATTTTTATATAAATATTCACTAAAGCCGAAAATTAACCTACTACTAAAACTAGCCTACATGAATTTGATTTTTGCCTCACTTGTGACAGTTCGTTTGATATGAAACTATCATTCTATGCGTTATTATTCTAAGTTGACACAATACCTACTTAGATGTAATTAACAAATCACCGTCGTCACCATGACAACCAGAAAAGAAAATATAAAATGTATAAAGGAGTCAAGAGAAAAGAGCAATAAGCAAACTTGAGGTCGTTTTTTTATAATTTTCAATGAAAAAGTTACAATTATGTTAAGTTAAACGTATATAGTGAGTGAGGTACACTTCTATTTATATAATGTATAATCGAAAAGATAAAAGATTGCGAATACTTGCCGAATCAAATTGCTGAGGACCTTTTCTTCGACATAGATTTAAGCATTGCTTTATCTTAAACATTGTTGTGTGTTTTCTGTTGAAGAATAAAGTATTTTTATTCCCTCTTTTTATTTATTTCTTGCGGACTATTGCCTAACTAAACCTAAGTTGATTATGAGAATGGACAGTAAAAACCACTGAAAAACTAAGTTCACTCTGACCTTTATCGGAAACCTTTTGACTACAGGCCGTGGAAGCAAAAACAAACAGGGCCTAATGTTGACCTTATCTGTTTGTTGGCCTGTGTTTTCTTAGGCTTCCACCAATCCGCTTAAGTGTGTTAGAAAAAGTTTTGTGCCCATGGTAATAATTATGTAAAAGATGTCATTCTCATCGCTTCAGCGCGACGCGACACAGTACGGGTCGATGGCATGAGCGTTATTTATATCCTTATTGCAATGGACATAAAGCTGTTTCTGCCCGGATTACGCCTCCGCGTCGGCTTGTTTGGTGGAACCCTTATCCATTTAGGCTTAGTCAACTGAGCGTTTGAGCTCCGTGCTCCTGCCACAATTTCCCTAAGGTGACTACGGTACTGATTACAAACCTGTCTAAAGGATTGCAAAGTACTTCTGAAACTTGAAATAGTGGCTTTCTTTATTTTAGATGTCTGATTTTGTTGTGAAAATAATGTTAGTGTTGCTAATAAATAAATAAATAAACCGCTAAATTTCAATATAAAATCGAAACGTCGTAACTTGCGATTAAAGATATTGATGATATTGAACTTTTCAAATTCAAATTCAAAATAATCTTTATTTCATAGGTAAGCATTATTACACTTGAAATCGTCACAATGGTTAAACTCTACCGCTCATTCGTAAGGCAGATTCCCCTGAGAAGAATGAGCAAGAAACTGTAGGGGTTGCTCTTTGTAAATGACGTTTACAGTATTTTTTTATTTGAACTTTTAACGATATGCCAACAGAGTAAAGTTTAAATTATATTAACGGTCCAAAATTATTATTTCTTTTTAACCGACTTCAAAAAAGGAGGAGGTTCTCAATTCGACTGTATGTTCTTTTTTCTTTTTTTTTGTATGTATGTTACGCGATAACTCCGGTATTTGTGAACCGATTTTCATGATTCTTTTTTGTTGGAAAGGGGGTATTTCCATAGTGGTCCCATTTCATTTTGAAGAAAATCATCCACCTCAAAGGGTGGCTGTTCACGCATGAAGATTCATTTTTATAAATAGCGCCTAACTTTAATTTAGGAGCAATTACTTTTAGCAATTATTTAGTTGATTTTGCTATTTCTCCAATTCAAGGCGTTTTTTTCTCGATATACTTTGAGCAGTGTCGTAGTGAGAATCTATTTTTATTATCTCCAGTATCAAGTCCTGTATAGTGGAGAACTAGGGGATATTTCAAATAAACTTAGCAAATAGACGTAATTCCACGTACTTTTGAGGTCGGTTTTTTTAGTACTCTGTACTGAGATTATTAAATTTAAACTACGAACAATCATTATCAAGATTTCATAGTATTTCAAATAACGAATGTGTGTTTTGGCGACAGCGGTTCAGATAGAAATCGAGGCACTTCCATTGTTTTTTTTTCTTCCGTGGACATAGCTGACTATTTTTGACTAAAAGTTACTTGGCAGTTTCCCAAAAATGTACTTATGGAATTCCATCACTTTATTGTTGAATGTGCAATAAGATTAAGTCTGCAGTTACTGTGATTCCAATGTCTCTTCTCCTTAGTCTTCAACCCGTAATACAGCCACATGAGTAAAGAAAGCTTCAATCCGTAATACTGCCACATGAGTAAAGAAAAATGCAGCACTGTTGCTTTGTGATGGAAACAGGAAAGGAGTTAGTCCCTGTCCGAGTTCTGCAAAGAGAACCCCACCAGACCAGAGAAAAAGAGAGTGTAAATCCCAAAATACGTCGTAGAAAAGGGAACCTAAGCACGCGCTCAAGGTGATGAAAATAACGTTGCCCGCCGTGTGCAGTCTTGCGGAACCAAATGCTGGTGTTGTACAAGGATTGTAATGTAAATGAAAGACTTGTTCAGACAAGCGTTTGCACTGTCGGCGATATACTCGGCGCTAAGCACTCATCGCGTAACCTCGAGCGAGTGACAGAGCCCAGATAATGCATTTATTTTAAAAATAAAACATTGAAGGGTGACATGTTAATACAATACAAAATGATTTTACAAATTAAATTGACTACACGGCGCGTGTGACGCGATTGAGCTCTTCCACCAACTTAAGAAGACGCCGAGACAGAAATGTCGCGAATTATTGCGACGTTATAATAGTTCTAAGTAACAACAAAATTATGAAAGTCTTCCTAGTCTTTATACAAGTCTAGAGCTTACATTATCAAATGTCACTTTCATTGTCACTCAAAAAATTCTCCTCCTTTATAGACACATTGCAATTCAAATTTCTCTTCCCCTGACTCATGTGTTGTTTCAAAATCTGCAATATAGATATTTGAGCATCGACTTTTTTGTGCAACGGTATCACTCTTAACATCGGCACTATTGACAGGGCGAAATTTGTATCAGGGTCGGAATCTATTTTCGAATTGCAATTATTCAGCATGCAATTCGACTTATAATTGTTCGTGGGATCAAAATAGTTTTCATCGTGTTTGCTTACGTTATCGACAAATTCAATAAAGGGATCTACTTTTCGTTTTTTTGAAATATTGCTCGAAGGAAGATTTATTGGTATTGTTATTGTATCTTCTTTGACTTCATAATCTTCTTCTTCGCGATATTCTTCCTGATCTAGATCGTCTGTTTTTGATATTTCCTGTAAAACAATAGACAATGTAAGTACAATGATTGAACATGCAACAGAGTCAATATAATTGTAATTAGCATTCGTAGATTCAATAACGACGACCTCCGTGGCCAAGTGGCTCGCACACCGGTTTTCATGGCGTCGCCATCTCTGGGTTGGATCCCGGGCCGGGTCAATGTGGAAATATTAACTTACTATATTGTCTCGGGTCTAGGTGTTTATGGTACATTTGTTGTTCGGATTTCCATAACACAATTACTTTAGTTACTTACTTTTGGATCAGGACAACGTATATAACCTTGTCTAATATTAGAAAAAATAAAACAGGGCTGCGATAAAAAAAAATGTTTCAATTTTATCAGGGATCCCAGTAGTTTTTTATAGATTGTCAATCAAAAATTTGTTTGATGTAAGCATCGAGTATGGTGTACTCGATGGGTGTAAGCAACTAGAAATTGCTGTTGATGCGGTTGATTTGCCTGTAAGCATTGAGTGCGACGAAGTCTGCATTGACGTATAGCCAGGACAACAAGCAAAATAGTGTTTCTTTATTGACATTTGGAAATTCAAGCACGATCGATATCCGTTGGCCGTAACAGCCGTTTTCCCAATATGAATGACCTACAGATTTGAGTTTCGATTTGGGCTCGAACTAAGAATATATGACAACAGTCTTTTCGTTGACGAACTTCGAGTGTAGTCCCGTATAGAGGTGGGTGGTAAATAACGTTACGACGTGAAAATTACAATGATCAGCCGTCAAATAGTATCACCGTGACTTTTTACAAAGGAACGACATTCTGACGTGCAACTGCACCCGGGATTGAATGCGACTCAATTTTAATTATTATAGACAAACAACCAGTCTCGGGATCACATGATACTCGCATTTGGGCTCATTTGGTTCCGTTGCAGCCGACCCCGGGTTCAGATGCTACAAGCCCCCAAAATCACTCAATTTATACGGTCGGACTGCTCCCCTTCAGGGTTCAGTGCAGTCCCACATAAACCCGGCTCTACCCCCGCGGGGCGAGGGTATCTGTAAGCAGATTCCCCCGGACTACCGGACAAAAAAACCAAGTTAAGTTAGGTTTAAAAGAAAAAACATTTTCTTCTCATAATTACTTTCGAGGTTATGAAATTTCGATCTAACGTTATTTCTGGAAAATGTCATTTCTGACTACTGATGGGTAACTCACGCTACCGCATGGTCTTATTAACGAACAATGCGATAGTCTTATGCCTGTAAAACTGTGAAAGTTATTGCGGATCAACTTTACAAATGGAATTAAACAATGCTTTAAAATAAGTAATAACTAATAACTTCAATTATTCTATTTAGAACGACTATTAGAAAGTAGCCGCTTGCCAAAACCGTTCAGCGTGATGTAAGTGACAGGCGTGACAAAGTCACGGTGATTTGTCGTTGTGATATTTTTGCATCGAGTATATAACCAGAAATAGAAACGAAATGTCATACAATTTGTTTGAAAAGTATTCTGCCAAATCATTACAGTGATAACTGCGCTCCGATCGGCCAGCCTGAATTCGAAACGATTGACGGGTGTCGTCATTTGTTTTACTTCAAATCCACCAACGTAACTTGAGCTTTGCTATAATGAACGAAAATTGAAAAATTACATTTTTAATGTTTAATTACCGATGAAATGCGATTCCGTTTGTTTTGCAATAAGATGTTTTGCTGTTTTTCCCACACCACCGATTGGAACAGCCCACCATAGTTAGAGATAATATCTTTATTACAATAAATACAGTATATTTATGGAAATAAAAGCGTACACACAGGTCAGTTGTTGGCGCTGCACTATTTCAACTTCCTGATTTCTGACGTCATGCAAACGAGAGTTGATATTTAAAAGTCACTTAAGGCCCATTTGCCTGATGGGTTGCCAGGGATGGATGACCCTTATTTCGTCTCTATATCTGGTTACATACACGATGTTTTTTGTAACTGGAACGATTGTCACGGTGATAGAAATGTAACGCTTTTCCCCGTCTCTAGTCCCGTAGGTATGGATGTCCAGAAGTAGCAACCAGCTACTGTATCCAATTGCCGTTACCGGACGTAGGAAGGCTTTCCTGTTAAGGTGTGTTGTGTCGGTAACTAAAAGCGTCTACGTTTGGCAGCGCCTTACACTTACCTGTAACTCAATGGAAGGCGTCAAGAAACTGAGTCGGTTGAAGTAAACGTATTTGCGCCTATTAGTGTCACGGCCGGTCTTCTGTAGGCGCATTTCTCGAGTGAAGCACGCTCGGAGATTCTTCCAACGCTTCTGGGCGTCACGGACTTGAAAAGTAAAAAAAAACCTTTATTAAATATAACAGTGACAGAGTAAGATGATAAGAGACTAGAATCGAAATAGAACACGCTATCAAAGTGTTTACTAAATTAATATATGTAATAGGGGTTAAAGTATGAAATTGCCGATTTGTACTGAAAATCTAAATTGTTTATTTTTTAAATTTTTAACAAATTTATTTAATCAAAATAGTTGCCATTATTATCTATACATTGCTGCCATCTAATGGGAAGGTTATTAATGCCTTTGCGATAGAACTCCGACGATCTAGACTGCACAAACTGTGTGAAAGCATTTTGTACTGCCTCCTGGGAAGAAAACTTCTTGTCACGTAGATAATTGTCCAAATCACGAAAAAAATGGTAGTCCGTTGGAGCAAGGTCTGGTGAATACGGAGGATGACGAATGGTTTCTAACTGCAGTTCCTGAAGGGTCAAAATGGTTTCTCGTGCTGTGTGAGGTCTCGCGTTGTCGTGGAGCAATAATGGTGAAGATCGATTCATGAGTCGGGGCTGTTTTACTGCTAGTTTTGTCAACATGGTTCGGAGTTCGGCACAATAGACATCTGCCGTTATTGCTTGACCAGATCGGAGAAAACTATAGTGAATAACACCATGCTGAGACCACCAAATAGTTACCATTACCTTTTTATTGGTATGTTTTGCTTTAGGACACTGTTGTGGCATTTGACCTGGGGTCAGCCATTGCATTTTTCTTTTCCGGTTATCATAAAGAATCCACTTTTCATCACATGTTACAATTCGATCCAATATTCCTTCATTTCTGTACCGGTTCAACAAGGCAACACAAGTTTCAACACGCGTTTCTTTCTGCAGATCAGTCAAATCATGAGGCACCCATTTTTCGTATTTTTTTATTTTATTGATTTGACGCAAGTGAGTCAATATTGTGGGTAAGGTAACGTTAAACCATGCCGCTAATTCCTGGGTAGTTTGACTAGGATCGGCTTCCACTATCTCTCTTAATTCATCGTTATTCACCTGTGTGGGCGGTCTTCCTCGTGGCTCGTTCTTTAAGTCGAAATTTCCATCACGAAAGCGTTTAAACCAAAATCGCACGGTGCGTTCATTAGTAGACCCCTTTCCAAACGCAGCATTGATATTGCGGGCTGTTTCTGCCGCGTTAGTTCCGCGTCGGAACTCGTATTCAAAAATCACTCGAATTTTCGCAGTATCCATCTTTCTTGTCTAAATTGAATAACAAAAACAATTGAAAGTCGATATTCAAATGTTTCAAATTTAAAAAAAAAAAATCACAGAAACCATTTGAAAAAAGTTTCATTCGAAAACCTCAAACCATGAAGATTCTATGAAAATTCAAAGAACCTATTGCAATAAAACGGCAATTTCATACTTTAACCCCTAATATAAGCGTTGAAAGAGAATTGTTTTGCATCGAATCATAGGGCCTACAAGTGGCATTTTAAGTGTTTCCATTCCTGCTGGGATACTTGGATGAAAGCTTATAGTTCTGTCGTTCGCTATATTCGCTCGCCGTCTACCGCTACCACCTCGTGTGACGGTTTGCCAGCTCCGGATACGCCTGCGATTGCGCCGCTTATGTTAATTTCCCTCCGTGATTAAACGCCGTTGGAGACTCCAGTATCTAACTTCGCCCACACTCGTGCCATTCTTACATTATATAATTTTTTTTTAAATTGAATAACATAGGTAATTAAAGAAAAATTATAAAGAGGAACGTATGTCTGAATAATAAATATGTAGAGGGTCGCAGGCTCACAAATTTAAATGTCAAAAACTCATTTACATTATAAAAACAACTTAACACAAGCAATTCAAATAGTATTTTCTTAAATCTAGACGTAGGTAACATTTTTTTATCGTCAGGTACATTGACTTACAATTATATGGACGTCGGGTCCGCGCTAAAAAGTGTCCGAACTTATAGGGCGTTAAAATCGTACACAGAGCGTCATTCACGCTTTAGTCTTCGTTTGTTCGACTGACAGCGAAACAAGCAAAATTAGACAGTACTGCGATGACATTACAATTTAAATTCAATGTTTTAGCTTTTTCATATTCCTTTACATGTCACTACGTTTAAATAGGTTGACTTGGGACATTTTTTTCGTGGTTTTTGTATTAGACCCGTCGTCCATTTATTTGTAAGTCAATGGTCAGGTAAATACATTTTATAATTTTACGCATATAATAGCAATTCCTTTAGAAACATGTAGTACTTGAATGCACTATAAGTTTCCGGAATAAAAAAGAAAAAACTACTATAAATGATCAGAAATGAATTTCTTGTTTCTCAAAATATTCTTCGTTAGCATTAATACGCTTTTTCATACGAATGAACCAGTTTTGAAAACATTAATGCCACTCCTTCATGACAATCTCTGAAACATATTTTTCATACTCTTCGATAGCCTATTCAGGTGATGAAAATCGTTGACCGCGTAACGGGTTCTTAATTTTTGGAAATAAATAAAAGTCACAAGGTGCCAGGTCGGGACTGTACGCGTGATGGCTCATAAGTTCAACGTTGTTCACCTTCAAAAATTCATGTCTGTCTGGCCGTGTGAGAACTGGCATTATCGTGGTGCAAAATGGATACGGCGTTTAAGGTTATTTTTACGGAGTTTGTCAATAATTTCCGGCAAACAAATGGTCGTGTACCAATCATTATTCACGGTACAACGATTCTCCAAAGCAACAGTAGCCACGTGTCCAGTTTTATCAAAAAAAGAAGCAATCATCCGCTTAGAGGCACTTTGCACGCGCGCCACTTTGGTTGATTTCGGCTCATCTGGAAAGTCCCACACGCTTGATTGCTGCTTTGTTTTGGGATCGGAACTATAAATCCATGTTTCGTCACCTGTTGCTATATCCCACATCAAATTTGACGCCCCTTCGTTGAATCTGTAGAATCCAACGAAAGCACAGCTTTTTCACACCCAAATGTTCGTGTAGTATTGATTATATTTGACTCATGCCTGTGCTTAAAGATGCCGAATCTTACGGTATGTCACATGCCTGTCTGTTTTGATCATACGGTGCACAGCATCGATGTTTTTGTTGTTCACAGCAGTGGACGGGCGACCATCACGAAATTCGTCACTGAGATTCACACGACCGCTTTGAATTCTGCAAGTCAGCTATAAATAGTCGCCTTGCATGGTGCTTCATCGCCAAAAGCAGTTTGAAACCGAGCGAAGCTCCGCTGAGCTGTTCAATTACACTTAAAGTTGTAGAAAATCACACTACGAAAATTTTCAACGATTTTCGAGTTAAATCCATGGTGACGTAGGCAAACAATTTCTAAAATGACGCCACAATGTAAAAACAAGTGAAGTCAGATGAAACAAACTGTATTCTACAGCCAAAGAATACCATTTTCAAATGTTGTAATAACTTTTTAAGTGTTGTTTACGTAAGTGGCCAGTTCCGGAAACTTATAATGCGCCCTATGTAGTGTGCATATAAATATGTCTGGCCAAAAGATAGGGTTTTCGGGTTAAAAAAAGAACATTTTTTGAAGTAAATAAATAACTACGTTTTTTGACAAAAATACACATCTCGATCTAGTTTTTTAGTAAGAGTTTGTAGCTATCTCGTAAACCAGCACCACACATCGCCTTTACGCACTTCTTCTGTAGGATAAAAGCTTGACTTATGTGAACAGAATTACCCCAGACAATAATTTCACAACACACATAACCGTGGTAGGCCACCAAAGCAGTTTTCTGGTTACAGATATTTTCATTTTTACACAGTAAGCATTAATTTATGTTGGACTACGAACTAACAAAAAATAGATTCCCGTAAATCACGACAATTACGCGGATTGGGTTTGGCCACTAAATTGCCGAAATGGAAACTTGTAATCCAATGATAGTTACGCTTAATTGCACTATCTTCGACGTTATACATAGTTAAATTATAACTCTTATTGTTATGCCACTTATGTATCAGTTATACCTATCCTATGAGTGATTATGTCCTTTGAAATTATGTCGTGTAGCTACGTTGAGTTATTTCTTGTTATTATGGGCCGCCCCCAAAAACTGGCCGCCCTAGGCCCGGGCCTAGGGTGGCCTTAAGGCAACATAGCTATCTTTGTTACGCAAATCATATTGATATTTTTATTGAGTCGAATTCGCATTTTGACGAAAAAGTAGCAAAAAACAAAAACAAAGCAACTTGTTTTTATTATTTGTCTGTTGTTCTTTCAAGTGTTCACGAAGTTTATCACCGAAATTTACGGATGAAATTCTGGGTATTAAACGCAGATAGGTATACCTGTGGGGTTTTGGGGATCTAGCTCCTGGCACAAAATAATCTATTAATTCACAGGACAACTCGAAATAACTGACGAACTTGGAGAGCTGAAACAGTTGGCGGTCGTTCTTCGTTTCTTTCGTGCCGATTTTTCCTCGTAAAAACTAAATAATTAATTACGATAGGCTCGAAGTATTTTCAGGGCATAAAATTATTATTAAATTTAAATCACGAAGGTATACTAGGAAGATATATATAATAGAGAGTATATATAATAGGAAGGTAATAATATAGTATTTAAATTAAAAGAAAATATAGATCATTTATTGTTATATGGATCAGATCGAGTATATAATCAGAAATAGAGACGAAATGTCATTTAATTTGTTTGAAAACTATTGTGCTATATCATTACTGCGACAACTGCGCTCTGATTGGCCCGCCCGAATTCTAAAACAATGAATGTCGTCAATTGTTTCACTTCAAATCGACCAGTTAAAAGCTATGTTATAATGGACGGAAATTGCAAAATTATATATTTAATATTTAATTACTAATGAAATTTGATTCCGTTTATTTTCTAATTAGATGTTTTACTATTTTTTTTCCCCACACCACCGAATGCAACAGCACCCCATTGTTAGAGATATTATCTTTATTACAATAAATACACAGGTCAGTTGGTGGCGCTGTCTATGTATGTATGGCCCTTATTTCTTCTT